TTAAGTCATATCTGTGGAATTCAGATTAAAAAACAGCTGAAATGGGAGAGATCCCAACTTCGGGATCATTGCCCTTACGTCTGAAAGAAAGTATGGGAGGGTAGGAGGTAGTGCTAATCGTAAAAATCTCCACTCCCTGTAGGCTCTCTGGGTAGCTCCATAGCATATTCAATAATTATTAGTTATTTTGCCAGCTTGGTGACTCCTGGGGGTGGTGGAGAGGGGGGAGAGCACCTGCTGATAAAGTTTAATGTCAAGTGTAGACTGATTTGCTTTACCTCCAGGGCCTTTTTTTCTCCACTTGGAGATGGTGGCTGTTTTTCTGTCAGACACATGCTTCCCTTAATGACTGTGTAGTTTATTACCCAGTAGGTCATATCCTGTATATTTTAAGAACAAACACCTCAGAGACGGTGACTTGGTGGAAGGAGATGACATGTGTCACTGCTGTTATTTTCACTACAGCCTAGTGGAAAAACTAATTACCTTTTCATCTGGGCAAATTCAGAGGTCAGTTTACCACTACTATATCACTACATGACAGGGAACACGGGTAATTAGGTAGGATGTGTAACCTGGATATTCCATGGATCTCATTACATCTTATTTAGAAAGGCTATAATTTGATTGGTGGAAAATTAAGGCATCTTCTCATGGGTCATTTTATCTTTCTGCAATAATAATTCTTGGCTTGATTAAAAATTGATCCAGTGTCTTAAAGTGAATTTATTATTGCTGCAATCTATCACCCCCAGACAGATAATCTGGTTCCCATCTTTATCTGATTTGAAAAATCTGTCACTTATTATGTGTTGTTTTTTTCAATCATTTAAATTGATGGTGTTCTAGGCAGGCATTTACTATTGCAGGTTTCTTGAAGAAAGCTTGTACTAAGAGGACTAAGATCGTCGTCTTTATGGAAAAGAATCAGATGATGCGTTGATTTTAATAAATCGGTTTCAAATGGGGCTATGGCAACATTTTCTGTATTAAAAATGAGCAAGCACTGTTTTGGGGAGCGAGGACAATGGAACAGAAGGGGACGGCAGTGGTGTTTTGTGATGAGCTCCTATTGTTGAGTTAAAGGGATTAGATACTCTTCAGTATCACCAGCTACAACATCTGACCCTGAACTCAAAAGGAGGAACCAAAATATGAAAGTAACAAATTAAGGGAAAACATTATGAGCTAATGCAGCCTAGTAAATAAACATAATAAATTTAGCAGTGCATATACATATTTTTTCTTATGAGCTAAACCTCTTTCCAGACAGTACAAATCTAGAAGACTGAATCAAATCTACCAACATCAAACTTTCTTAGATTCCACCAGCCTCTCTACCTTAGTGTTATGTTTTTAGGAATGGAAAGAAGGAAGAATTTAAGGTAAGTATCACACAGTTGTTACAATTGATCAAATGATCAGCAAATAGGTGCTGCAGTGCATAGGGCACTGGGCCAGGAGTCCAGAATACTCCTCTTTGTGAGTTCAAATCTGGCCTATGAATCTTACTAGCTGTGTGACCCTGGGTAAGTCACTTTACTCTAATCACCTCAGTTCCTCATCTGTAAAATGAGCTGGAGAAGGAAATGGCAAACCACTCCAGTATCTCTGCCAAGAAAACCCCAAATGGGATCATGGAGAGTTGGACATGACTGAAAAATGACTTATGAACAACAATCTATAAGGCATTGTCAGGCCTAAAAGGAAGTATAGATGCAGTCTCAGACCTACAGAGGCTTACCATCTCTTTGGGAAAATAACGCGTGAAAAGTTAAATAACAACAAGCAATATAAATAATAGGTAAAAACATTAATACAAAGGAGTCTATTCCCAGAATGTGCTTCTTCCTCACATCCAACTCTTAGAATTTCCCCCAAGGCTCCAGTCAAGGGCTGCCTCCTGTGAGAAAACTTTCCTGGTCACCTCAGCTATTAGTGATCACTCCATCCTGAAATAACTTTCTATTAGCTATGTATCCCATTGTATTTACCCTATAAAAATAGCTAGCATGTATAGAGTGCTTTAAGGTTTGCAAAATGATTCAGTCAAGAAGCATCTATTAAATAACTATTATGTTTCAGGTACTGTGTTAAACACTGGGGATAAAAAGAAAGGCAAAAGACAGCCCCTGCTTTTAAGGACCTCACAGTCTAGTGGGGGAGAAACAAGATGAAAACAACTATGTATAAGTAGGATATATACAGGATAAATTGGAGATAATCAATAGAAGGAAGGCACTAGCATTAAGGGGGGATAAGAAAAAGCTTCTCATATGAGATGGAGCTTTAAATGGGACTTGAAGGAAGCCAGGGAAGCCAGGGGGAAGAGCATTCTAGGTATGAGGGAACAGCCAGGGAAAACACTCAGTCTCAAGATAAAGTATTTTGCTCAAGTAACAGTAAAAAGGTCAGTGTCTCTGGTTGGCAGAGTTTGGGGTAGTATGGAGTTGGAGAGTAATGTTTAAAAAGACTAGAAAAACAGGAGGGTGTCATGCTGTGAAGGGCTTTGAAAAATATTATCTCACTTTATCTTTATCTTGGGAGATAAGTACGATTATCCTCATTTTACAGATGAGGAAATGGAGGCAGACAGCAGTTAGGTGACTTGCTCAATTACTAAATGTGTGAGGATAGATTTGATCTCCCTGAAAGAAGGAACAAGTTCATTTTTATTTTTCTATTATAGTGCCTCGAACTTTGCTTCGCATATAATAGGTGCTTAATAAATGCTTGTACTCGGTTGTATTTCTCCTATTAGAATGTGAACTCCTTAAGGACAGAGACCTAACATATGTTTTTGCCTTTCTTCGTATTGCCATTGCTTACAGTGTTTAGCGTGTAGTAAGCTCTTAATAAATGTATGTTGAATTACTGACTTGGTTAAATAGAATTGAATGATTAATTGTTAAAAAAAAATAGTGGAGAGAATAATTGCAACCAGAGTTCAAAAGCAGAGAAAGGTTTGAGATCAGGGAGTCTAAAGTTGGGGCAATAAATCAGTGTGTCTTGATAATGGGTAGAATTTGGGTAGATGGACAAAGCAAGGTGGGGGGGCGAGCATAGTGGGTATGAGCAAAAACTCCAAGGTTAGGAAGAGAAAACTTGTAACAGAAGATTAGTGATGAGTTGGAAATAGGATGAAAGGGTATGTTGGGGCCAGACCGTACAGGTCTTTAAAAAGCAGGCTGAGGGGTTTGGACTTGGTTTTTTTAGGCAACAGGGAGTCACTGGAGATGTGTGAGCAGGAGAGTAATACGATGAAATGACATTTTAAGATTTGTTCAGTGGTGTGTAAAGGAGGGGATCAGGGAAGCAGAGAGTGCTTATCAGGTTACTATACTAAAGCAAGCAACCAAAGTCAGTTACAATAGTTAACTTTATCTCTCTGGACTGCCATAAAATGAGGGGCTTAAATTTGCTGATTTTTATGGTTTCTTGTACATCTAACATTCTGTGATTACAGAACGTGGATAGTGGAAATGGAAAGGAAGGGACATGTTCAGAAAATATTCAGATGGCCATATCCCCTTATTAGACTGGAAGCTTCATGAAAGCAGGGGCTGTGTCTTAACTAAACTTTGTATGTCTACAATTCTCTGAATAGAGAAGACCTTTAATAAATGTTTCTTATTGTCACCCCTTAGATGTTAAGGGTATTTTTAACTCTAATCACATATATAGAGCTGTCCCTGAATCTTAAAGAATATTCTTATCTCAATCTGTGACTTTAAATTCATAGATTGGGGATTTCAAACCTCCCTCCCTATCCCCCTACTAATCCAAAATGTATACACAAATGTCAGATCTTCTGTAGTAAATTCCACATTCTTGGCTAGCATCTGAAAATAGAACTGATAGCATGTTATGAGAGATGATCTGTAGGATTGGCCCACGTTCTCTTCCTGCTTTGTATACTACTCAATTGTTTCTCACTGCTGCATTAATTAGCCTGGGTTTTAAGATTTTTTTCTTTCTTCCCATATACTGGGGTTAATATTTTCAGTTTCATGACCTTCCAGGAATGTCGTGAGATTGATAGTCTGAGCTACCCAATGAGATTTGAGCTCCTCAGAGGTACTTCATAAATATGATGGGATGTTTTGCTCAGAGCTAAGCTGACCTCACCAAGCAAATCTAGGACCCCTGGGGCGAGTTGCTGATATGTTGTTGCCTCTACTGCCCATGAATTTTGGTGTATTTCTGTTCTTTCCAGGTTTATTTTGACCCCTGGGTGAAAACTCTTGAATAATACACACAAAGTGTTGATTGCCACCTGCTTTTAGACCACATTAATTAATGCCTTCATAATAACTTCTCATACTCATGTAGCACTCTATATTTTTCAAAGAGCTTTCACCTCTAACGTTTTGTTTTGTTTCCATAGAAGTTCTGTGAAGTAAAGTAGAATGGATGTTACTATCTTCATGTTGTGTGTGTATAGAAACCTATGATTTCATTAATGTAAGAAATACTTGGTGTGAAAATTCACCCCCCTCCTCTCTGCATCTCAACTAACACAGATTGGCAATTCTCTAGCAACATAAAGTCTTTGAGAATTGTCTGGGGCCCCAAGAATTTAACTGACTTGCCCAGCATCCCATGATCTCATATGTCAGAATCAGGACTTGCAAATCTTCCCGACTTTAAGACTGGGCCACTATTCACTACACCATGTTGTCTCTCTTGCCCTTTTTACAATTGGAGGAAATGAGGTAGAAGCAAGTCAAGTCACTTACCTGAGCTCATATAGCAAGCAGGTGACAAAACTGAGATTTGAACCCAGATCTCCCAAGTTCTAGGCCAGTCCCTTTTCTGTTATAGCATATCTCTTTGTATGGTTATTATTTGTGATTTTATTTGTTGCAGTTCATGATTCTAATGGGCTTTGTTTGGTGGGAGTAGAGAAGAGAGATAAATTTATGCCCTGGACACTAGGTTTTCTTTTAAAAATAAATTTTCTTATGTTTGTTTTTATGTCATAGTCATTTCGGAAAAATCTTATCTCCATGCCCCTCCAAAATGAACCCTCCTTCATAACAAAGAAAAACAGTTAAGGAAAAACACCTGCTCCAGTGACCACAGCTGATGGTACCACACGCTACAGCTGGCCTGGCAGTCCCCCACCTCTCGAGAGGAGGAAGGTTTGTTTCATTATCTATTTTCCCTAACTACTATTGGTTTTTCAGTTACTCAGAGACAGACTTCCTTTTAGTCATTCTTCATTTACATTCAACACTGACTTCTCAATGATAAAATTAAGGGCAACTACAATAGTGAAAATGCTTTGTCACGAAGCCCTCACTCAGAAGACACCCATCTTGTTGCCCAATGCATCAGCTGAATTCATTGAAAGTCAAACCAAACTCTATCTGACTCGATCCCCTCATGTCCTCTAATCACTTAGCCAAGAAAACAGAGCTAAATGACTTCGTCCTAAGAGCATTCTGAAAGCTGAGACATGCTCTTACCTGGGCCCCATCGTTATACACCACAGCAGCCACTATTATAAATGGTCATATTCCTAAAGCAACCCTGGAGAAAGAATGAAAGGGAAATTGTGCAACCAATTTAATGAGGTTTGTGTGTGAGACGGACAGTTAACAATTTGTCTTTAACAATCTTGTTATATGGCAAGAGGCTCTGAGGGGGGAAAGAAAGAAAGAAAGAGATGAAGTCAATGTTCTATTTTCTAACAATCCTCAAGAGGAAGGAGATAAGGACCAAGAGAATTCACTGAGCAATTTTTTTCATGGCTGGTGACAAATGCAGGCTCAGTGCTCACAGGACGAGTAAGCAATATGAATGGAGAACGGTGATAAATCTGGATTTAACAAAGGTTTCACCCCACAGGTAATAGAGTTAGAGGGTGAAAGGTTGTATCTTGTTCAACCTTCTCCGGCATCATTTTCTCTAATGCTGTATAGTAATTTTGTGGCATTCTGGAAGCTGGCTGAATGAAAAGAACTCGTCAATTGTGGCTTTAGTGCTTTGTTGCTGGGGTGGGTCATCAGATAGAAGTATATATACCCAGACAGCCAGTAAAGTAGAAACCAAGCAGTAGAGTAAAAAAAAAAAGCATTTTTATCTTTAATTGCACCACCACCTGCCTCTGGACATGTGGATGTTTGTACTCCCAATGGTCAGGTACCTATTTGGAAGAATGTTTAATTGGCCTTTCCAGAAAGAGGCCACGCAGGAGGGGACAGAGTCTTGCGCTTGGAGTTGGAAGACAACTGGTCAAGGTACCTCCCTAGTGCATTAGTCCCCATTCTCTTTTGGTTTCACTCGATCAGAGGAAAGCCAGTATTTCAGTAGAAATGATGTGAGCTTAAAATAGGCTGATCAGTTCCTGGACCCCACTTATTCAGCTGGTGTAGTGGAACACACTAGAAAAAAATCTACCATGTATAGCCTGTGTCCTTATAATCTAGTTGGGGACACAAGGTATATGTTAAATATTTAATTACATTTTGTGAGTCCAAAAACAGCACAAGAATCATCAAATCTTGTGTCTACTGAGGCACTGGCTTGCTAGGGACAATGAGGCTACTAGGCTGTTGAGGTCTGTTAAAAGGGACCAGCTCCCCAAAAGAATATACAGGATGTTGTGGATGGGTGGATATCAGTCTGCCCTTTTGTATTTACTAGCTCTATGCTGTCTCTACCCAGGCCTGCTATTTTTAAATAACATTTTTCCCCTATTACATGTTAAAACAATTTTTTTTAACATTTTAAAAAAAAGTTTTGAGCTCCAGATTCCATCCCTTCATTCATCCTCCCTCCCATCCCCCTTCCCTGAGATGGTAAGTAATCTGATATAGGTTATGCATGTGAAATCATGTATAACATTTCCATATTTTTCCACATTTCCATTATTTTGTACAAGAAGACTCAAACAAAAAAAAAAGAGAGAGAAAGAAAAATAAAAAGTGAAAACCAGTATGCTTCAGTCTGCATTCAGATAAAATCAGTTCTTTCTCTAGGGGGGCAAATAGCATGCTTTGTCATGAATCCTTTGGGATTGTCTTAGATCATGGTATTGCTGAGAATAGATAAGTCATTCACAGTTCTTCATCATACAGTTTTGCTGTTACTGTGTACGATGTTCTCCTGGTTCTGTTCACTTTACTTTGCGTCAATTCATGTGAGTATTTCCAGGATTTTTTCTGAAATCATCCTACTTGTCATTTCTTATAGCAAATTAATATTCCATCATAATCATATACCACAAGTTTTCCAGCCATTCTCCAGAGGATGGGCATCCCCTCAATTTCTACTTCTTTGCCACCACAAAAAGAGCTGCCATAAATATTGTTGTACAAATAGGTCCTTTATCTTTTTTTATACCTTTAGGATACAGACCTAGTAGTGGTATTGCTGGATCGAAAGGAATGCACAATTTGGTTTCCCCTTGGGCATAGTTCCAGATTGCTCTCCAGAATGGTTGGATAAGTTCACAACTCTACCAACAGTACATTAGTGTCCCACTTTTCTCACATTCTCTCCAACATTTATCATTTTCCTATTTTGTCATATTAGCCAATCTGATCGATGTGAGGTGATATCTCAGAGTTGTTTTAATCTGAATTTATCTAATCAGTAGCGATTTAGAGCTTTTTTCATGACTATATATAGCTTTGATTTCATCGTCTGACAATTGCCAGGCTTACTATTTGGTTGCTAATTGTTTTTACTTCTACCCCTTGGCCTTGTTGATTCTACCCTCAATTCATCTACTTAGGTCTTCAACCCCAGGCCAACCTCCTGCTGTGATCTTGCCCATCCTGCTGACTTGGCATTTTGCTCCCCATGTTCCTTTCTTGAGATGGATGGATGTCAGATGTATCACTTTTGGTTGTGGACTTCTATACTTCTCCTGATGTTCTGTGCATCCCATGAATGGTGAGCTTATCCTTTGCCTCCCCAGCTTGCTGTGACTGTCTTCTGCTGGACCTAGTGAACTCCATGGGCTTAAAATGATTCAGCACTATACTGGTAGAACCCTGTAAGTCCCAGGGACTCATCCTCATTATGAAAACAATCCCAAAGGCATCCCAAGATGTTATACGCTAAGGGCCAAATGGATAGTGTAAACAATAAGTATTTTTTCAGAGGATTGAAAAATCTCTGTGGTTTGGTTTGGCAAAGACCCAATGAAAAGTAGGAATCAAGCAAAGCTTTAAGTGACAAAAAGGATTTGGATGGTAGAAGAAAACGCTTTTTGGAGAGTGGAGGTGAGGTTATAAAGACATGACATAGGTTATAGAATTGGAAATATACAAAGAACTCCTAGAGTTATAACTAGGTAAGGGTAACCACGGGTTTGTTCCAGGGTGCTGAAACTTAGGAGTACTGAAAACACTTTTAGTTTTTCAAGAGCATAGCAATAAATGAGTTTATCATCTATATATAGTAAGAATCACTAGTTAAAATAGGAAGTGGTTTTCTCACTTCTTCTCACCCCACCCCTGCCTTGCTCCAATCCTCTGCAGCATCCCTGATACTGATCTCTAGGTATCTTGAGATCTTTGCCATCCCCAAATGAATTAAGAGGTATGTCAATGGCATATGTAAAAGCACTTCCTGAAGTATAGGGCTATGCAAATATGAACTATGCATGTTGGTACCTAGTATAGGCTTAGCAGCAGAGTTTGCTCTTAGTGCAAATTTGTTCATCTTTGGATTCTGTGGAAAGCATTTTAGAGATGAAACCGAATTACATAGAGGAGCATGAAAGGGATAGGAGCTCTGCATTTATTCTACAAAAGGACCATCTTGTCTAGATAAGGCAGGCAGTGTAATTCTAGCTACAGAAAATTCATGTGGAATAAGGACCATTTCCTAGTGGGTAAATGAACAAAAGCTACGAATGAACAGTTCTCAAAGGAAGGATTTTAACATCTTAATAACCACATGAAAAATTGTTCTAAATCCCTGAAAACAAGAGATACAAACCAAAATGACTCTAAAGTTTCACTCATACAGCAAATTGACAAAGGTCATAAAAATGTGACTAGCAAATGCTGGAGGGGCTGTAGAAAGATAGGCACACTAATACATCACTGATGGAGCTGTGAATTCTATCACACTAGAAAATAATTTGAAATTATGCTCAGAAAGTGATTAAAATATGCATGTCCTTTGACCCAAATATTCCACAGCTAGATAGAAACCAGGGATAGAAACCAATGTCTCACATACACCAAAATATTCATAGCAGCACTCATTGTAGTAGCAAAGAACTTGGGGGAAAAGGAATTGCCCATCAATTGGGGATTGGCCAAACAAATTGTGCTACATTAATGTAGTAGAATAGTATTGTACCTTAAAAATGATGATTATGAAGAATTCAGAAAAGCATGGGAAGATTTATGTGATGTGATGTATAGAACAATGTAAGTGGAATGTAGAAAATAATGCATAAAATGACTACAACGATGTAAACGGAAAGAACGAAAAATTGAAACTGAATGCTATGTAATTAATAATAACCAAGCTTGGCTCCAGTCTAGAGAGAAGAAAAAAAAGCACTTCCCTTCCTTTTTTTACAGAGGTAAAGGACTATGAGCAGGGATATGCTGGTAATTATTTTATAACTGGCTCTCTAAAAACTCCAAATCCATATACAGCATACTTAAAAACATTTTTATTGATGTCTTCTGTTTCTTACATTATTATAGTTATCCTCAGATACTTTATCACAGTATATTCTCATATAATAAATAGTATTTTTTAAAGAGGAAAAAAAATCAGCACAGCTGATTGATATATTGAAAAAGTAAGAAAACATGTGCAATGAATAACACTTATGGACCTCCCCCTTCATGAAAAGGTAGGTTGGGGGCATCATTTCATATTTCCTCGTTACATTTACTTTTGATTTTTTGTATCTGGTGGTTCTTTCCATTTATGTTGTCATAGTTATTGTGTATATTATTTCCTTGGCTCTTTTCACTTCACCCTGCATCAGCTTGTGTAGCTCTTTGCATCGTTCTCTGTATTCATTACATACATCATTTCTTATATCACAGTGATTTTCCATTACATTCATATGCCACAACTTGCTTAGTCATTTCCCAGTCCATCAGCACCTGCTATTTCTAATTCTTTGCTATCATAAAAAGTGCTGTTATAAATATATTGGTACATATGGGGATTTCTTCTTATCTATGGCTTCCTTGGTGTATTAGCCCCAAAATGGAGTCTCTAGTTCAAAGGTTATGGGTATTTTCATCACTTTATTTGAATAATTCCAAATTGCTATCCAAAACATTTCCCCCCATTTCACAGCTTTATTGATAATGTCTTCATGTTCCTGTTATTCTACAACCTCTCCGCTATTGTCTATTGCCATTTTTTGGTCATCTTTGTTGATTTTGAAGGTGTGAGGTGAAACCTCAGGATTGTTTTGATTTTCATTTCCCTTCTTATTAGTAATTTGGAGCATTGTTTCATGTAGTTGTGAATACTTTGCAATTCTTTTGAGAATTGTTAACGTCGTTGACCATTTAGCTATTGAAGTCTGGTGATTAATCTTATATATCTATACCTATATCTTTGAATTAATTAATTGGTTTGTATCTTCAATACCAAACCTGATTTTCCCTCCTGTTTCTTTTTTTACTTATTGTTATAAAGGATCACTTTCTGGAAAGAAGGGGAGGGATATATTTAGAAGTGTAGGTGATGCAAAAAACCAAAAGTTATTGATAAAAAAGAAAAAAGAGAGGCTAGCAAATCTATTTTAAAAAAAGAATATTCTTTTCTGGTGAGTGGAGTGTTGCGGTTAATGGATTCTTTTGGTTAATTGAAAGTGACCATATATACATTCCCTGAATTATTAATTGTCAAAGAATGAGAGTACAATAAAACACACATAACATAAACACTATACTGAATCTAATCTAATCTTTCTCTGATGATTCCATTTTTTTATACTTCAGGGTCATAGCCATGAACAGCAATTATGATTGTTCAAATGTGTGGAAGTATCAGAAAAAAGAGAGTTCTAATTTATAGAATGCTAGATAAACCAGTTTTTACTATAGCTAAGAAACTGATCTGATAGCTTAAAAGTGGTTATGGGGACCCAGGGACCCTTTATCTGGGCTGCTCATTGGACTGAATGCAAGACCTTTAGGATTTAGATTCTCTGTTCTCCTTCCTTAGGATTGTGTAAAAAAAAAGACAAGGGTTTTTTCTCTGCCTGATTAAGCTGCAGATTACACCTGCCTTTGGAGGGTTGATGGTCTAATAGCACAGAACCTCTTTGACATACTACAACCCATCATGATCAAAGAAATACTCTGGGGGCAAAATCTCCTTAGAAATTCTCAGAGCACAGACATTTGCTAATGCAATCTCTTATATTAGTAAGAAGAGAACATTCAGCTGGTCCTGTTTACTTTCCAGAGCTCTCTAAAATTGTTATTTATTGCATTTTTGATAAAGAGGAAGAGACATTTGGTCCCGCAGGGGAGGGAACACATTTTAACATATTTATTCATTAGTTAAGGGTTAGTTTAGCAGATAATTTTGTAGGATGGTTAACAACTACTGGGAGGAAGAGCTGGTGTTATATGGTAGGAATGGGTATTGGCATGTGGTGGACCTCTGTAAGTGAGACAATGATTCATAACAAGAAATAAAGTCCTGTTTCCAATAGAGGAGCACCCTGGAGAAATCAAGGACCAGACAGGTTTAGGTAGTTGTGGCATTGGAAGATACCAATACAAGATCATATGGACTGGATAAATGGATTATATAAATTATATAGGTTGCTCCAACTATGTCAGGGTTAACCACCCTGTCAGGCATAAATGTATGGAGGAGAGCATTGATCTTAATCAAGCAATCAACCAATTAACATTTATTAAGTACCTGGAACATAGTAGGCTGAGATAGGGATACAAAAAGAGGCAAAGGACAGTCCCTATCCTCAAGATGCTCACAATTTAATGAGCTCATCTTAAAGTGTCTCTTCCACATTTCCATTGGGTTATAATGGCACATCTTTTGGGCAGATGCAATGGCATCTGACCTACCCACAATGGCTTTAGATAACAGGGAAATTCTGGGATCATGGATTGTGGTAAGAGGATGGGATGTTATCTAGACTCAAATGTGGAAGAACATGAGCCTATTTCTTCTTTATGGGGGAATATATCAGAGTTGAAACTAGGTGTTTTGCTCAAGATTCCTATTTGGGCCCCACCATAGCAAGGTGTAGCAATTGTGAAGGTGCTGGTGGAGTGACACAAATTCCTCAGGACAGCCAAAATAGTTGATGCTCATGTGACAATAAATTTAGAGCTGAAAGGGACTCCAAAAGTCCTCTAGTTCAACTCTTCATTTTATAGATAAAGAAAATGAGATCCAGACAAGTAGAGCTGATTTTCTCTAAATTACACACGCAGTTTCAGAGCCAGGATTTGGAGCCAGGGTTTGAGGCCAGGTTTTTAGACTCAAAATTCAGAACTTTTCCCATTGAATTATTGCAAACTGGATATAACTTTCCATTCCAGAACCCATAGCCAGAACTCTGCCGTGGCTCCTCTGTATTTGACATTTGGGCTTGGCTTTTGCTTTCCTGATTTCTAGATTGCTCTCAGTCAAGTTCCTTGAACCCCACTTGAATGACTTTTTCACATATACATCACCTTCATTTTGCATAGCCCTTGATGGAATTAGGTCGAATATCTGTCTCCATCCTTAGCTCCCCTTTGAGACAAAGCTTCCTGTATGGCTCACCATCTTAGAAAGATCCAACTTTCATTTGACAATGGATGCACTTTCTATACACTGGATCATCATAGCCTACCATTTAAATAATTTTTGATCATCTCTGTGCTCAATATCCTGTTTGCTATATATAACTAATATACAATATATAACATATAATAATATATATGATATATAATGTACAATGCTATACATAGCTAATATTCTATGTAGATACTGGGGGATACTTTTGGATAGTTCTGTCATTTGGAATATCTATATTTATGGAATCTCCAAAATTTAAAAAAATAAATTAAACATTAAAATTTTAATTTAGAGAAATAATTAGAAAATTAAATATACACATATTTCTAACCAAGTAGAAATATAGATCAGATTCTTATTAAACTAGGCAGTCAAAAAAGTGACCAATAAAATCTTCTCTTTAAGTCACTGTCAGCAATAAACATTGAGCTCTTAAGTAGTGTCTTAGACCAAAAAGGCTAGCAAATGCCTTGTTGTGAAAACGAGTTGTGACCCAGACATTCTGTGGTTTATTAATTTCACATGTAATCCATTTCCAGTTTCCATTCAATTCTGGTTTTGAAAAGACTATGGATTCAATGTGGGAATTCTTGTGATGATTCCACCTGATTAGAGCCCCCAACCCAGTTTCCTTGGACCTTCTAAAGGTCTACATTCACCTTATGCCTTACTAATGCTGTGCAGGAACTACACATTAAAACAGTACAATATTTCTTTGGGACAGAATTGCAAAGCAAAGCACAGGGAAAACATGTTTCAATATTTATTCCTAAATGAGAAGAGTCTATCATCAGTTCCTAGCCTCAGAAAATAAGCTTTTCCAAGACTCATGTCTTTGAAATGGGGAAAGATCCTTTGTTAATTCCATTCAATTTAATAATTTGACAAGTATTTACTGTCTCTTAAATGCCAGGCACTGTTAGGGGCTGGGGGTGTAAAGACCAGGATTATGCAGATGTCTTCCTTGAGAGGTTTATATTTTGTTGGGAGTGAGGAAAAGACAACATTCTTAGATAAGTAAATATGAAATAAAAACAAAGGTTTTTTGTTTTTATAGGTAGAGCACACATCACTGGGTTAACCAAGAAAGGCTTCTTAAAGGAAGAAGTACTTGAATTGAGACTTGAAAGAAGCTTGAGATTCCAGCCAGGTGGGGAGGAGGAGGAAGAACTTTCCTGACATAGAGGACAGTCTACGCAAAAGCATCAAGCTGGGAGACGGAAGTGTGTCTCCTGGGAAAACCAGGTGGGCTCGATTGGTTAGAATGTAGAATTCACAGAGGTGATGATGGAAATGATGCACCATCAACTTACAGAGATAACATGGAGTCAGATTGTGAAGCACTTTAAATTCCAAGCAGAAGGATCTTTTTTCTGAAACTAGAATGATATAAGTAGAAGCCTTCAGTGTAGACATTTGTGGCAGCACTGCTTTAAGACAATATCTATGAAAACAACAGTAGTTCTTATATAGTTTAAAAAAAAAGTTAACAGTGTAAAATGTAAATTCATGCTTTCATAGTGAGTCCTCTTTTTACGTTGTGCTGTGTACATAGAAATCTCCTTCTCCTTCTCCTTCTCCTTCTCCTTCTCCTTCTCCTTCTCCTTCTCCTTCTCCTTCTCCTTCTCCTTCTCCTTCTCCTTCTCCTCCTTCTCCTTCTCCTTCTCCTCTTCTCTCCTTCTCCTTCTCCTTCTCCTTCTCCTTCTCCTTCTCCTTCTCCTTCTCCTTCTCCTTCTCCTTCTCCTTCTCCTTCTTCTTCTTTCTCTCCTCCTCCTTCTTCTTCTTCTTCTTCTTCTCCTCCTCCTCCTCTTCTTCTCTCTTCTCTTCTTTCTCTTCCTCCTCTTCTTCTTCTTCTTCTTCTTCTCTCTCCTCCTTCTTCTTCTCCTTCTTCTTCTTCTTCTTCTCTCCTCCTCCTCTCTCCTCCTCCTCCTCCTCTTCTTCTCTTCTTCTTCTTCTTCTTCTTCTTCTTCTTCTTCTTCTTCTTCTTCTTCTTCTTCTTCTTCTTCTTCTTTCTTCTTCTTCTTCTTCTTTTCTTCTTCTTCTTTTTGCTTTTTGGTGAGGCAATCAGGGTTAAGTAACTTGCCCAGGGTCACACAGCTAGTAAGTGTCATGTGGCTGAGGCCGGACTTGAACTCAGGTCCTCCTGACTCCAAGGCCAGAGCTCTATCTACTGTACCACCTAGCTGCCCCCAAAATGTTCTTTTTTTTATGTATTTAAGTTCAAAATAAATAAAAAAATAAAAATGATGATATCTACCCATATTATGTTGCTCTCCACTCTTAGCTTCTGACTCTTCTTCCTCTGGTGTTCTAGGAATACATCAGGGTTCCTGGGTTCTTGAATGTAGTTTCAAGTGGTCATCACTGTAATCCTATTCACCAGCTTCTCCTCATCTTCCCAGAGTGTTCTTCCTATCATCTTCCCATGTGCCCAGGTACTCAATATAATGGGAATTGAAGTTCTAGGAACTTAAATCAGACCTATCCTTGAGGTCCAGAGCATTATGAGAAGTGTTTCTCATGTTCTACCTTGAGGCTGTCATCTGTAACCTCTTCCTTGCCCCCATACACTGATGGTAAGAGGAAACACGAATGGGGCTAATTCTTAACTTCTGGTTCATGTACAATGGAGGTCTAAACATTTCAAAGATTAATATTTTCTGGATCTCTCCATCTTCGTCTTGCTTGCCTTCTCTGCAGAGTTTGATGCCACCAATCAGTCTTTCCTACTAGAGCCTCTTTTCTATTTTGGCTCCTGAGACATGGCTCTCTCTTGGCTCTTTGTCTATTACTTATTAGTCTCTTCTGATATCATTTTCCTCCTCCCACTAAGTATGGACATTACCCAAGTCTCTGTCCTGGGCCGCCTTCTCCTTATGGCTCTACACTCTCTCCTTTGTTGATCTCATCAGCTCCCATCTCTATGCTGGTGCCTTTCAAATCTGGATATCTAACACTAATAATCTCTCCCCTGAACTTCAGTCCCATATTCTCAGCTACCTGCTGGACATTTCCACTGGGATGTCTTAATGGACTCTCAAGCCTGATACCGCCAGAACAACTCATTAGATTTCCTCCCTTTAAACTTCCTTGTTTCTATCAATGGCACCAGCATCTTTCCAGTTATTTAGGTTCATAAACTGGAAGCCATCTGCAGCTCTTCTGCACATCTCCCCTTTGCCTCAACCCCACCCTCCAAACATCTAATGAGTTATCAAATCTTCCTGATCCCATCTCTATGAATATCTGTTCTGTCTGTCCCCTGACATGGTTACCACGATAGTCCAGGCCCTCATAATGTCTCATTTGGAGTATTGCAATTGCCTTCTAATTGGTCTCTAGTTTCTTCTCTGTCTAATGCACTTCGCCACAGAGTGGCCAAATTGTGGCCTTGTCAAAATTGTGGAAATATTCCAAAAACATGGGTATAAATATGTCACTACTCTAATCAATAATCTTTAATAGCTCCCTGTTGCCTGTATGGAATAAAATAGAAAATCCTAAACCATGCACTTAAAGTCTCACATAATCTGACTTCTCCTTGCCTTTCCAGTTTTATTTTCTATTATTTCCCTTCACATAATCTCCATTTGTTGAGCTGGTATATATACAGTAAATCCTCATCCTACCAGTCTCATTTCTTTACCCCTATTTGCTACATTAACACTGTTCCCTTCTCTTCCCCTATTCTCTGCCCATGACATGGGGCCCCTAAGCCACAGAAAATATGCCATTTCTAAGCTGTTCCAATTTGCTCAACTCGAGTGGGTGTCATGATTGTGGTAAAGAAAAAAAAAAGACTCATAAGTCAGATGTTCCTGCCATGCTAGGACCAGTAGGACGCCAGGCTAAATTCTGGGAATTCTGACAATTCTAATATAGACTACGGGGATTCTGAGGCTTTGGTTTAAAAAAGCATATTTGAATCACAAAGTATTGAAAACTCTATCAACACTTTAATTTTATGGGTAATAAAATCTTTGGGGCTTCTATGAGCATTCTGAATTCGAGGGGAAGGCAGGGAAGGAATCAAAATGGAGATCAAACAATATCTGGGCTGGAAGTTTCTTCGGATCCAGAATTTGGTGGGAATTAAATAGTTCTGGGGCTGATACCTTTAATTTCTGCCTCTCTGCCTCTCTTTCATTCTTCCTTTCTCTTCCTTCCTTATTTCCTTTCTCTCTCTCTCTCTCTCTCTCTCTCTCTCTCTCTCTCTCTCTTTCCTTCCTTCTTTCTTCTCTCTTCTTTATAACAAATTACTAATCTATGCCTCCAATAAAAATAAAAATAATGACAATAATTGTTGATATTTGTGTAAGTTGTCAGTTGCCTAAAGAACTAGAAGTTCAATGGGAATCTGGGCTTGCTTATTTTGGAAGTCAACATAGTATAGGGGCTACAAGGGAAGAATAAGGGAACAAACATTTATTAAATGCCTATTATATGCTAGGAACTGTGCTAAGTGCTTTGAAAATATTATCTCATTTGATCCTTTACAAGAAACCTGGGAAGTAAGTACTATTATTATTCTCAGTTTATAGTTGAAGAAACTAAGGCAAACAGAGTTTAAATGACTTGCCCAGGGTCCCACTTCCTTTTTTTTTTCCTGGTGAGGCAATCGGGTATAAGTGACTTGCCCAAGGTCACACAGCCAGTAAGTGTCAAGTGTCTGAGGTTGCATTTGAACTCAGGTCCTCCTGACTCCAGGGCTGGTACTCTATCCATTGTGCAACCTCACTGCCCCCTTTTTTAGTTTTAGTTTTTTATCTGTTTTATTTTTATTTTTATTTTATTTTTCCCACTTCTCGTAAATGTCTGAAGTCGGGTCTTCCTGACTCTAGGCCCAGTGATCTATTCGTGATGCCACTTAGCTGTGGCCATTGTGCTATACCTAGAAGCCAGACGACTTGGGTTCAAGTCCTGCTTCTGATACAGACTAGTTGTGTGATGCTAGACAGCCACTTAACTTCTCTGAGCCTCAATTTCCTCATCTGTAAAGTGGAGATGATATCTTCATCTTTTCCCCTTCCTTCCACCCAGAGGATTATTGTGAAGCTCAAATGAGATGATGAATACAAACACTTCAAAAACTTTAAAGCTTATGCTATGTAGAAATGCCAATTATTAATATTGCTCAAGAAGCAACATGTTGCAGTGGATAGAAGGCTAGATTTGGATTCAGTAAAATAAGGGTTGAAGTCCTGCTTCTGATGCATACTGTCTCTATGACCATGGGCAAATCACTTAACTTTCCAGCATCTTAGGCAACTTTCTAAGATTGTAATTTATTTAGAAATATATTTAGAAAAAACATATTACAACACATATTATGGCATAATATATAATAAAATATATTGTAAAATAAGGCTAGTTTTACGTATACATATATATTTCTATGTATATAGAAATTAGATATAGAAAATACATAAACCAATGAAATATATGCACATATTTAAATTATTACTCTTCCTAGCCAAAGGCTGAGCTTTATTGTTTATGTTTAACATGATTCTATTAAACTGCAAGTGTTGCCAATACCTTTTAAATTCAGTAACCTGGGCCAAATCTCTGACTTTTCCACCTTAGTTATGACTTTGCCAAGGTCACACAAGTAATATGTGGCAGAGCCAGGAATAAACCCAGATCCCCTGATCTTAAGGGCTCTTTTCACTGTAATACACTATTAGTATTCCCCATTAGTTCAGTTGTCCTTAGTTCAGTTTGGTTTGGTTTGCTTACTTTTAAAACCTTGAAAAAAATCCCATGAATGGGTTCTTAGGTGTGATTTCAAAGGTATTCTGCTACACTGCATGCATATAGCCCCAATCTAATTAAGTAAGTGAGGCTCTCACAGTGGAGAAAATTTCATTTATTAGGTTAGAATGAAACATGAGGGAATTGGTAAGATGTGGTCTTAAATTAACATACTTCCTCCAGCACCTGTGATGTGGTATTATCAGAATTAATTAAACTATCTCAAATACCAGGCTATGTGTCAGTCTGGGATAACTGGACGCCTTCTGAAAACCACAAGCCAGGGTTGGGTCTCCTAACAGCTCAAGCAGTGTCTCCCCTCTTCCCCCTCCCTTCCCATACTGCCTCAGACACACACATCCTGATGGGTCTCATGATGGAGCCTTTGAAGCCTTTGTAGACGTTGGGGGAGAATCTATTGGGATGCATATAAACAAGTAAAC